AGGAGAAACAGTCTCCTAAAGGAGGTTTAAGGTAGATATTGGAAGAATTTTCTCACTAGTAGGGTAGAAAAACACTGGAACCGTTTACCCAGAGAGGTGGTGGAAGCTCCATCCTTGGAGGTTTTCAAAACCCAGCTAGACAAAGCTTTGTCTGGGATGAACCAGTTAGGAAAGATCCTGCTTTGAGCAGGGGGTTGGACTAAATGACCTCCTGAGGTCCCTTCCAAACCTCATTTTCCATGATTCTATGATTTTATTATCCTATCCCTATATGCCACAGGAGCTGCCAGTTATTTAAAAGATATCACAGATTTCCTAAATGAACTAGTTTTCTTTGACAAGCTTCCAGCTCCCACTAATGTCACATCTCTGTACACCAACATCCCCCGCAAGGACAGATTCCAAGCCATAGAGAACATTAACCCTGAAGATGACACCGCTTCTGTTTCACTCTCCTGCTTTGGCTTCACAAACAACTATTTCAGATTTGGGGACTCATCGTGCCCACAAATAAATGGCACTACCAGGGGCACACTTATGACCCCCAACATGCCAAATATTTATGACAGACCTTGGAGCCTTTGTCTGCAGCTGACCTCTCATTCCCTCGGTACACCTAAAGTGCGTTGATGAAATCTTCATCATCTGAATGCATGAGAAGGACTCTCTAGAGAAATTCCACAAGGACTTCAATAACTTCCTCCCATCCAGCAAACTGACTGGAATACTCCACCTAGCAAATTCATTTCTTGAACATCACTGTGAAAGTTTGCAATGGCCATATCACCACCATGCTGTATCAGAAACCAAGTGGCTGCTACCACAACCTCCACACTAGCAGCTGTCATCCTAAGCACACCACTAGATCCATCTCTACAGACAAACTCTACCTTACAGTCGTATCTGCTCTGATCCCATTGACTGGGATACACACTTCAAGGCTCTGGAGCAGGGACTCCTACACTAACAATACAATCCTAAAAACATAGCTATTTAAATTAACAGAGCCAGACTCAGGGTCCACTCTGACCCGCTACAATATCAACCCTAAGATGAGGACAAAAAAACCCCATCAGTTGTCACCCACAGCCCCCAGTTTGAACACCTTAGAAACATCATTAATGACCTCCAACCCCTACATTTCAAGGTAGCCACTGGGGACAAACCTGTCCTGGCTTAGAGATGATGCCCCAAGCTCAGACACGGTCTCTCCAGCAACAGAGTATCTAACTCCTGTTCTCACCAAGGCACTAGACTTTGCTCTGGACCCAGATGCCAGCTGTGCCTACTCATCAACACAGACATCATTATCACTGGATCAAATGATGTGGATTATAACATACAAAGTTCACATCATCTGCTTACAGTCCCCCTCTGTCATTTACATTGGACAGATGGGGTGATCCCTACTTGTAGGAACAAATGAACACCAATCTGACATCAATTCCAGAAGGACACAAGCGTGTGTCAGAACCCTTTAACCTCCCTGGATATTACAATGCTGACCTCTTAGACATAACACTTAAAAAAACAAACTTCGGAAATTGCAGAACGAGCAATCAGCCACAAAGTTGATTGTGGTCTATAGTCTAAACCAAAACTACAGATTCTTATCCCATTGCCTGAATTAGCTTTTATAGCCCCAATGGCCCTCAATAGGTTAACAGCTTGGTTTTTCTGTCGTACACACCTTGCCTCTTTCAGCAGTACCCTCTTCTTTTTCCTCTCTCTTCCCTACACTTGGTTTCCTGAAGTCCCTCCATTGCATCTGATGAAGTAAAGCCATTGCTTACAAAAGCTTAGGCATCTCTGATTTAGTTAGTCCATAAGGTACAAATCTAACCTGACCCCTGTCTTATGTAGATATCCTGTTGGAAATGAGGCATGCCACCAGGCTCAGCAGTCACAAGTTCATTATTTGGCACCATCCTGCTTCAATAGGCCACATTTCCTAACCCCTTTACAGCCTCGTCGAGGTTCTGAACTGGAACTCTTCCAGGTCAGACAGACCACAGGTAGGACTGTACTTCACCGTCCACTGTGCTCTTTTTCTGTATTTTTTTAAATAAAGGCATGCCACTGTCATAGTGCTCAAACTCCATCCGGGATGACAGGGGGCAAACCTTCCATGTGGTAAAGGTACACAATGTTAGAGCTTCCAAAATTCGATGTAGCATGCCGTTAGGGAGAGAAACAGGGGCTAAGTTTTAACATAGAGAGCCCTAGACATGGTCATTTGCCCAGTGTTAGCCTACAAGCTATAGGATTAATTTTAGGTGGGGCACTAGAATTCAAATAAAAAGATGTCCTTCCTAGTGTTAGTGATATGCAATAAGGATGTGACTCCCTGTTTCCTGTCCCTGTCAGACAAAATTAGGAGTGGTTTGGCAGATCTTTTTGAGGCCTGACATCAATTTTAGAAAGACAAGCCTGTATCAGAACACTTTTACCTCCCATCACTGACCTCAGACTAGCTGTTGTTATACAACAAAACTGTAAAAACTCAAATGGGAAACTGCAGAACAAGAAATCACCCACAAACTATCCCAGCTCCACGGCCCAATCTAGCCCAGAGGGCCATGCTATCTGACTTGCTAGACTCCCCACAGGTCCGGAAATTTGACAGCAGGGGAGCAGCAATTAATGCTGCCACTGATCTGACACCACCAAATTTCTGAAGCGGTGGGGAGCCTGGAGTTGGATGACAGGGCTCCACACAGGCTGGATCTGGCCCCTGGGCTAGGGGTTGAGCACCCCTGAACTTATACACTCCTTTCTTACCCAAATTATGTCTTTTTTGTGTGTTTATTTCACAACCAATCCAGGAAACCTCTTGACACTGATTATCAGCTAGGGTCTAGGACATTAATGGAAAGCAAGTTGTACAGCTATTAGACCCACAAATCTAACGGGCTATGTGGGGGTGGGGTCTCTTGCCCACCAAAATCTAATACATAAACTCTTTATTCCTTAGTAGAAGCTGAAAGAGGTATTGTTGGAATCTCTGTTTATAATGCTTTAAATCAAGGGGTCAAAAATTTGCCCTTCCTCAGAGGCTGGATGTGGACCACAGGGTTCCTTGTGGTCTGGATCCAAACCCAGAGGTGGGGCAAGCAGTAGCAATACAAGGGTTAACACAGCTGTCACTCATCCACACTGCTGTGGATATAATGTCCCATGAGTGACTGGTGCCTCCTGAATCTGGGATGGCACCTGCAGAAGCTGCTGACAGCAATGGCCATGGCGGGGGCGGCAGCTGTTGCGGGGGGTACCAGCCCTACGGACAGCATCAGTGTCAACTGTCGGGGGGGCACGTGCACCCCCTACCAGTCACCTATGTAATGTCCCCAACAGGACTCGATGCCCCAGATTTTGGTGGTGGGCCCTGCCCCAGTTTGCAGATCATACATTTGAAACCTCTGCTTTGCATCATAATCTCTTCCAAATGGAGGTGGAACAGATTAGGTAGGTGATCCTATAGCAATCCAAATATTACTATAGTTGATCCTACATACTTAAAGTGCATCCTATAGGTGATCCAAATATTCCTATAGTTGAATTTACTGATGAAAAACATTAGAGAAAATTTACAGTACAACTTTATGTGCTTACCATAACATCTTGCAAGAAAGAATTACCTCTTAGAACAGGGTATGTATCAAATGCAAGCCACCATGAGGTTTTGCAGTGAGTACCAATCACAAGTGTCTTAGTGAGCTGGGCCTAAACTAGCATCAGCTGATCATTCTGAAGAACAACAATCTAATGCCAGAAAAATCTCGGTTCAGGAGCAAAAGAGGTAAACATTTTTTTTTTATGGTTAGTAAAAATATTTCCTGTTCAGAAGCTAACTTGATACAAACTTTTGTGTTAAATTTAAATAGCAATCAAACCACAGTGAAAATGATAAATTAGAAGAAAACATAGGTAAACAACATACTCTTTAGTGATCACAAATAAAAACAAATAATTCCTATTGGAACTGGTCTGATAATCAGTTGGCTCTGTTGGACACACGGGTTCATGGGGTTGACAAATTGAGCCTTTTTCTATTTTAATAACTTAAATAGCCCACTAAAGATGCAGTTTCTCAACAGCTTGGCTTAAAGTCCTGCTGACATTTTGCAGAACATGTTTAGAACAAATCTGTCTCATGTTTTCTGGATTTCTCTTAATGCACTCGCTCTTATGAAAGATATTTTAATGAAAACAGCATTGGTTCCTTACATATCCATCTGCTTCTGCTGACTGTTCTCTTCCTGATATCTCCTAGTAGCTCATAGCTTCATAAAAGTATGATGCCTCAGAGATTAAAGTCTAGTCCACATTCAAATATTTGTCAGTATAGCTCAGGGGTTTTTAACCGGGGTATGCGGAGAAGCCGGTAGCACTTCCCCTTCCCCCCATCAACTGGCTGCTGGCACAGTGTTCCCACTAAGCTGTGCGCCTGCGCAGCCACGCACAATAAAAAAAATTGCAACGGGGACCTGCATGCACCTACCTGCCGGCCGCAGCGCAGGAGGTAACCAACTGTGGGGCAGACCGAAGTGGCGCATGCTGAAAGGAGGAGGCTGGAACAATTTGGGAATGGACTGAAGCGGTGTGCTCACAGATTGCTACACCTTAGAGGGACTACTGGCTGCTGGGGGACTCCCCGCGTCTCAACTGGCTGCTGGGGATACCCTGACCAAAAAAAAGTTGAAAACCCCTGGTATAGGTAATATAGACACAGCTTAACCCAGCAACAGTGTTTTTGCTTGTAGTTTATATCACTCATTTGAGTGAATTATGTTTTATTGGTAAAAGTACTTAAAAACTGGTAGAACTCTCTCTATTCTATGGCTTTTTACCATCATAGATATATCACATATGAAAAAAATAATTCTATACCTAAAGACCCTCCTGTATTAGCAAACACTGTTAGCCTAAGAGTCCAGATTAACTCTTAAAAATGTACCTTTGCTAATGAAATCAAGAGATCAGCATTACTATCTGTCCTTTGGATTTATTTTTCTAAGACATAATATTCCTTTCACATAGACACTAAATACATGCAAATTAAAATAGTTAATACATTTCCAAGATTTCCAAAGTGATTACATTTCCAAGTGTATTCTTCCGGATGAGCTCTCTAAATCTGTTCACTCACTCAGATACAGGTACCAATTGATAATATTTGCACACACACAGCTGCTTTTCTTTTTTGGAATGGCCCAAAACCCCCTTAAAACTCCTAGAGCGTCATGTTTTATCTTAGGTACAATACTTATGATGCTGCAGCTTGTCTGGTAGCAGAGGGGTTATTCAGCTTTAGTATTCAAGATCATATTTCTAGGGTATTTCATCTCAATTTCCCAAAATAAATGTATTCAACAAACTGCAGCATTACCAAATGTCACTTGGCTTTTCTCCCAGTTGAGCCTTTCTGGACAGAGTGCAATGAGTTGTATGTACTTCTTTGTGCTGTAAGTCTTTGGTGGAAGGTTTGAGGTTTATCAGAAAGACGGATCCATAGTTGCTTCTGTATCAAGAAGCTGATGCTCTCACAGGAATCTTTGTAACTTAAGTGGTCATTTGATGATGGAATTTTTAAATAAATAAAATTCATAAATATACACATAACAGGAGCTAGCCTCTGAACATTTAAAAGAGGGGTTCATCTGGGTTACATTTTTAGTGCATGATTCTTGTTTTGGTATACATTACAATATACTGGCTTTGTCAGAAGCCTAGATACACTTTTAGAATATCGTGGGGGGCACAATTAGCGCCTTGGGGCTTTCTCTGTGAATGAGGTGGTACAAAGGGGTCTCACAGGTCACCACCCAGAAGATGTAGGGCTGGTACCTCCTGCTTTCAGGCAGCAGAGCCAATCAAGCTGCAGTCCAGCTCTTACCCCTGACAGGGACCCAGACAAAGAAGCAAGCCTAACAACTTTCCCTCTTCCTGTGCAGTGCAGCCAGCAGACAGAGGAGAGCAAGTGAGCAGCTGCACTAGCTGTTCAGGGCTCTTATTAATCTGCTCCTGAGGCTACAGGGGAAGGGAATGTCTACCAAACTGCTTCCCAGTGATAGGACTGAGTGGAACAGCCCAAACAAGTGTCACAGCTAACATTGGGGGGCACATTTCAATTAAGAAAGTTTGTATGTGGCTTAATGCAAGCCATGAAAGGGACTGTAATTTATTCTGAAGGGCAGCAAGGAGTACCCCACACACCAACTGGATGCTGTAGAAAAAATTATTTTCTCAAGGTCTCACTTTTTATTAGTATATGCATTCTATACATCCATCACTAAAATAATAGCTCTGTAAAAACATTCCTATTCAGACTGTTCTTACCAATCCATCTGATTTCTAGTTCTAAACACAAAGTTGTATACCAAAAAATTTACATTTTGGAAACAACTAAGTCAAAGCCCAGAGTCCTGATCTGCAACACTTTTTTACATTTGAATGCAAGAAGTATAAATATTCATCCATTTCTTTCATAGTGACCCATCTTGGCATTTCCTGATCACTTTATTTACATTGTGCGTGACTAGTTCTCATCAACTGGAAGCTGTAGCTATGCTGTGGAGTTTTTGTGTTTTTTAACTAGCATGTTGCAATGACTGAATGCTTTTAAGGTTTACTGTCTAGAAGCTGAGGGTGCAACCTTTCAGTGGATGATTGCTTTTATTACAAATTTTCCTCCACAACAACAAACATTTCCAGCACAAAATTAAAAACTTGTCATTAAGAAGGTTAAGGCAATTAAGAGAAGACAATAATATTCAGCTGAACAAGAGGCATGGTACTGGTACAGAGAATTTTATGAATGCTACTAACAATTTTAAAAAGTCTGTTCTAGATGCAACATTTATCAAACACCCCTTTTGCCTTTTGGAGGCTAGTTTGGACAGTATTTGGATAGACAGCCTTCTGAACTACTCCTGTAGAACAAGGAGCTACTAGCAAATATAACTGTCCCAGTGATTTGTTTCATTGCACATTCAGTTTTGGGGGGACAGAAAAAAGATCCCTACTAAATTAACTATGATTTTTGCTTACACCGAGGTCAATAGGAGCTTTGTTGACTCGCTTTGTTAAACCAAGGACTAATTAGGTCTTCTCTCTGAAATGTCTTATTTTTCCGAAAATGTCTTATTTTGATAGCAGTTCGTTTAATTTCAATCTCCTGAAGCTTCTTCAAGCCCATTGTTTTTTTTAAAGAAAATTATAGATATGGATCCTTCATCCCAGAGAGAGAGAGAGAGAGAGAGAGAGTGTGTGTGTGTGCGCGCGTTTGCATAATTTGAATCCTGATACCTCCCCGCCCAGCACAGCCAAGTGACTTTTGTATTATGAATCCAATTTTCATAACCACTCCTTCCTACCACCCCTACTGCCCAAAGGTCACTCCCCAGTTAACCACATTCCCTACAAAGATCTGAATTTGGATCAATGTTTAAACTTTAGGGGATTAAAAACCTTCCCTCCTCCCCTCTTATTTTTCCACTGCATTTTCCTTCAGCGAGAACTACTTATTTTCTAGGGCCTAATCCTAGTAGTTCAGGATCTCACTCACCCCAGGTCCAGTTTGAAACAGCAGCTTACCTGATCTGGCATCACAACAAATTTATTTCCTATTTCCCTTTCTGATGGACTTCTGTGAACTTGTATGTAAGGAGGGTGTTTAAACCTCTGGGCAAAAATTGAAGTCCTCCCCCGGCCATTAGGGGGAACAGAATCCAAGTGATTTTTCTAGAACCCCTTTGCTTGCTTTCCTGGGCTTCCCAACCCAGTTCCTTAACTCCTCCCTTGGTGTTTTCTCAAGGCGACGGTACTGAGATGACCTCCCTCCATTTTTGCCTTGTTACCTATAATATGGGTTGTTCACACTTAAGCTCCCCAATTGCTCTGATTTTCCATTTCCCAGAGTCACTCCTGATAATGTCTGTGTGTGCAGGCAGACTCCTGCCAGAAATGAGGTAGGACTGAAAGGATCCTTAAAAAATAATCTAAGCCCAGCCCCTGGCACTGAGGCAGACTAAAGCACATCTGGTCAATCAGCAACAGCTGCTTGTTTAACTTGTTCTTAAAAATCTCCAACATCTACTTATCAGGGTTTTGCTACCCTTAAAATGAGTGAACATCCAGCCTAAATCCCATCTGCTACAAATTAAGCCAGTCTCTCCATACAGGGAGAACAAAACTGATCACCATCTCTATACAAGCTTCTGCATACTGGAAGACAGTTTCATCTCATTTCAGTCTTCCCTTTTTCTAGACTAAACAAATCCAGTGCTTCCTAACTTTTCTCAAAGGTCACACTTTGTAAACCTATCATTCTTGCTGCCCTTCCCTAGACTCTCCTCAATTTGTCTACCTCTCTCGATCTGCTGTGCCCAAAACACAGCATCTGATACTTCACCAGCGTTAAGTAGAGCAGAATAATTGCCTCCTGTGTCTTATATGCATCACTTCTATTAATACATCCAAAGGAGGTGATTTGCTTTCTGTACAACAGAATTGCATTGATTCAAATTCAATCTATGACCTATTATTCTACTATGCTGCTGCTCAGCCACTTATTTCCCCTATTGTTTCTATGTATTTCTCAAGTGTAGCACTTTTCATTTTATTGAATTTTGTCTTGAGTTTTAGATTCTCTATCCAACAAAAAATCATTCTTAATTCTGATCCCGTCTTGTAGGGTACTTGCAGCCCTTCCCAGCCTAGTGCAATCTATGAATTTTATAAGCATATTCTCTCTTCCACCATCAAAGTTATTAACAAAAATACTGAATAAGCCAAGCTAGATCCCTGTGGGGCCCACCTTGAAGTATAATCCCAGTTTGACAATGAAATACTGGTAAGTATTCAGTGTGCTCCCCCTACCTTGTCCACAGCCAACTGTGCATCCAGAGGTATAACTAGGAAGTTTTGTTCCCTGCGTAGGAACTGTGGCAGTGGCAGCCGCCGCCATTTTTTCCCCTTTCCCCCCCCCCTCGGGACCGGTGGCAGTGGCAGCAGCTGCCATTATTGCCACTTGCCCCCCCAGCTCTAAAACGGTGCCCAGAGCTTGTGCCCCATTGCCCACCTCTAGTCATGCTACCATCTAGAGCAGTGGTTTTCAAACTTTTTTGGCCTTATATCAAGGTCAACATGTGGCAATGTCACTGGTCAATCATTATTCATATTTAAGCACATATTCCTTAGTAAAGCGCTGTGTACCCCCCAGGATATGGGGGCAGGAGTGCTTTAATGGAGTTTAACTCCAAGGGTGGGCTGCTTTTAACCCAGCTTGTGCTGCTGCCACCACCCTTGCTTGCCCTGTCTGTGCTGCCACCAAATGGGCAAAGTCCCTCACTGCAAAAATGCTACCAAACTCCATCCCAGCCCCATGGGCTGGATCAAATCATAGATGGCTCAGAGCTGTAGGTTGCTGACCTGACACCATATTTCCCTAATTCATATAAAAATGTCATGCAGGACAGTATCAAGAGCCTTACTGAAGTCAAGACATCACATGACTGCCTCACTCTGATTGGGACCTATGTGTTTGGGTCTTACCCCTACAACCCTGCGATGCTGCTGCTGTTCTGTCCTAGGTTGCCTACGCTCTTTTCCTGGGTACATCAGACAGCCCAAGCTGAGGTCTCCCCTTAAGTGTGTTCTCCCTGAACTCATACTGCCCTTGAAGCACACCTGACCAGGAAGGACAGGTAACTCTTATATCATGGCAGGTCACAGTCATATTCACTACAATAATGATTTAAATTGGGCAGAACAGACAAAGGTGTATTCTAAGGCTAATTTATTAAATAAAAATCATAGAAATTTGGTTGTCTGTAATGGGAGCATAGGGATGTGGATTTGGTTGGAATAATAAGCTATAAAATCTGTGTAGAAATTTGAATAACCTCAATATAATTAGCAAAATAAAGCAATAGATTTCAGAGAATAAAAAGGTAAAATGCATATAAAGAGCAACCACACCCTGCTTCCTTGGCCAGAATGCCTTAGTTTTGAGGAGGATTAAAAAAAACTAGGACTTCTTTGTAGCTTGTATTAACTGTTAGAAAGGAGTTTCCCATCCTCAAGCTATCACCTGTCCAACTGTGCCTGAAATGTAAGACAACTTTATTTTGAGGGTGAAAATGACATAAAATGTTTAACTACATTTAACTACCTGGCATTTAACTACTTGGCATCACCAAAACTACAATGAACACACTCAAAACAGAACTCCTTCAATCTACCTCCCCAGTTGACTCTCTCAGAAGTTTTTTTTTTTCTGTAGGAAGTGACAAGAAGAGAGAGACAGGTGCAGAACAGAAATCCAACAAAGCATGTAATTATCGATCAAACTGAAGCTGCAAGGCAGTACAATCTACTCTGATTCCAGAAAAATCTCTAACAACTGCCTGGGAGTTAATGAGGGTTCTGCAAAGTGATCTCTTAGCATTGCTACAATGGCAATTCAAAATCTGGTGCTGAATCTTTTAAATCATGTTTTAGCAACATGAACAAATACTTTGCACGTTTTAGGAGTGGTTTTTTTAAGCACATCACCAGGACTTTACTTTTCTACATGTTTAATTCCAAAGAATTTTAAAATGCTTTATTAATTCCTATACATCATATTTATCTGAATCCAAGATAATTTCAAATCTAAGATGACCTCCCAATAATAAGGTTCTAGACATGGAAAATATTTAAATTATAAATATGTTATAATTTTCCAGGTTTATAATTTGATTTTGGAGGTTTGTCTTAAATCCCCTCCTCCATGACTCCAGCCAAGGACAAAAGTGACCTAACTCCTGCCCTTGCCACATGTTCCCCTTGGTGCCTGCACACCCTGTGTGTGCTCCTCCTGTGGTTCCTGCGCCCTCTTGCTCCTTGGTCCCTGCCACCTGCCCCTTCCCCCTCCCCTCCTGCACTGCCTATGTACCCCCATCAACCACATTCCCCTCTCCCACCTGTTCCACTCTGTACCCCCATCAACCACTTTCCCCTCTCCCACCTGTTCCACTGCCTGCACTCCCTGGTGCCTGCTCCATGCCCCATACTGTCTGCATCCCTGGCACCTGTCCTCCCTCCCCAACCCCAGCTGGCTGCCTCCAACACCACCTGCTCCCTACCCCTTACCCTCCCATCACAGCTTTAACTCTGGCCCAGGGCATAGTGTACATACCGACTCCAGTTCCCACCCAGCCAGGTAGCAGTGGCTGTGACAGTGGCAGCTGTGCCCCAGCCCCAGGTCAAAGATGAAGCTGCTGCTGCCACCACCATTGCATGACAAAAGTAGCAGGGTAAGCAGCAGTGGTAGGGTAGAGGGAGTTGGGGGAGAAGGAGGTGAAAGGGAGCAGAGGAGGGAGGGAGGAGCAGAGGCTGGGGGAAGTGGGGTGGGGGAGCAGCAGCTGTGGCTCCAACTCTGATACAGAGCACAGGGTCAGAATCAGAACCACAGCCACAGGCACTTTCTACCCCTACCCCACCATACTGAATGGGAAAAAACCTTGTTTTGGATTCAAGTGAATATGGCATTTTATCTATATAAAATAAAATTGCATGATTCATAGGGTTTATTTTAGCCAGCACTGAAATGGAACCACAACTGAACTGCACATATAGCAAAACTAAACTTTACTTCAGGTCAGAAGAAAGAAAAACATTATCTAAATATAGAAATATTGTAGGTAAGCAGAATTTACTTAGGCCACCACAGTGAAGCATTCTAATTCCCCTGTCACAAATTCAATCATCAGTGAAAGTCAGGACAGCTGTAAGATGGACAGGACAGCTGTAAAAAACAGAGTGCCTTCCCAACACCTTAAAGCAGCATTTTCTCAGCAGTGAGCCAGAGAGAGAGGTGGCTGCATCTTCTGACCTGGAAACAAAATTTCCTTAAAATGGAGAACCTTCAAAGAATACTTGATAGACATGCAAGATCTGTACTACAGCATTACTTGACAAATGTTCACATTTCCCTTAAGAAATCAATTCAACTCACAAGAGAAAGTTTTCAGTTTTCAAGGTCATTTTTATTGAACCAGCTTTGAATTATGTTGCTTAGCTGGTAGCAATACTAAGCAGGACCAAAAAAATAAAAAGGATAGAGTGCCATTCAGCATCAAGCTAAGTCATCTAGCAAGGTTTTGAAATATATTTTATCCATCTTCTGATATCACAAGTTGTCATGCCAACGAGTGTTTGGAAACTATGTAACAAAATCCCTCAGAAGGAACTGTTTATGCATTTAATTAAAAAAGACTAGACAATTTAATTTCTCAAGTGTGCATTGGTCTCATCTCTACAATCATTTACATTCCACACTTCATGCTCTCAAATGAGTTATTGTAAAGATTAAGTTTTTTTCATCACTGATACTACTGGAAATATTAGCCAGGCTCATGTACAGCAGCCTTATTATAAGTTATATTTTAGTAGGCAATAAATTATGACACTTGCTGATCAACCAAAACAAATTTCATCTAGGCTAATATTTGATACATTCAGATAAGAAAAGCATTTGGAAGTTTTATGCTACTCATATTATACCCTGCAGTGCAAAAAAAAGTGACACCTATTTTTTCCTGAGTATTTAGGAAGTTAGTATCCTTTTTCTCCATTTTAACTTGTGATCCATTTAAAATATGCCTCCCCCTTTTTTTTTTTAAAACTTGTCTTGTCAAAACTATATAACTAAAACACACTGCATTTTGTAAATATCAGAAATCTCTCATCAGGAATTATAGGGTTATTTAAAAGCATTTTTAAAAATCCTTCATTTCAGTTTTCCAAGTCGGAAGAATGTCGTAAGTATAACACTTAACAAAAAGTTGAGCATTAACATATTTTCCATTGACCAAACACTCCAAAATATACATGCCATATGCCTTCCAAAACTTTAGAGAAATAGTCTGTTTGAACAGTTTCAAAGTACATTTCTTTTAACAATTTATATTACAAATTTCAACTCATTCTTCCCTAAATAACATAATGCCCAATGGAGCTGCCCCTTTTCTAGACAGAAAACATAAAACACAAAAATGTTCTGGAATGTATTTTGGGCAAGCAGAAAGGATACTGCATCCCTTACAAATTCATCTTCATGCTGAAGGCTACAGACCACGAGTCTCTAATTCAATCTTCTCTTCTGTTTGCAAAATGTCAGGTTCTACTGGTGCCACAGGTGGTCGAAGTATAACCTCTGGTCCTCCCCCATAGATTGTCTGCAGAAAATTCCATGTTTCCTCAGAAATCTGCCCAGAATCGGCTCCTGACAACAAAAACACAATTAAAAGAATCTGAATGATAAATCTACATAAAATTCCTAATCATTCTTTTTTAAAGAAAAATGTATGAGGAGGTAATAATTTAATTCTTCAAATTAATGTTATCCTCATTGAATTTCTACTACCTTGCAGCACATACTACTCAGCTCCGTGACAGTATTTTGAAAGCTAATAGTCAAAATGCAATTCAAAACACACTGCTTCCTACATTACCTGCCTGATGCTAACATTAACTGCTTTCCAGATGTTGTTATGCCTTGTCTGAAACACCAAACTAGTAGGGCTGTGCGAAGTTTTGGTCCCTGATTTGATTCGGCAGAGATTCGGCCCAATTCAGTGGCCAAATCTCCAAATCTGAATAGAATCAGAGGACCCTTTAATCTCTCCAAATTGAATCGGAACCCTCCGAATCGAATCGAACAGACACAGCTTTAAATGTTTTTTCTACATACCTCTAGATATCAGGTGGCTCGTGAATGCTGTGATGCTGGGGTGCATGGCTTGTCCCACAGAAATGCAGGGGCTCCCCAGCGTGCTCAACAGCAGACCCAGAAGTGGACTAGAAGCACTTCCAGTCCAATTCCGGGTCTGCCAGGGAGCGCCCCACACCCTCCCTGGCTTGGTGACTGGTGCCTCCTGGATCTGGGGGGGGACAGGACACCCAGGGTCTCCCCCACAGCTGATTGCTGAGCTGAGAGGATGCAGGGGGGCCCAGCGCATTCTCTGGCAAACCAGGAAGCGGACCAGAAGTACTTCCAGGTTCACTGCTGAGCATGTGGAGGGCCCCCTCTACCCCACTCCTCTGGGACACTCTGTCTGCCCCAGCATCACAGCATTCACGAGCTACACCTGGTACCTCCAGGTACGTAGAAAAATATTTAAAGCTGTGTCGATGTCTGAATTGCTGATTCTTCGAATCACCATTGAACCTTCAGATTCAGCCAAATCGAATCAGGGACAGTGATCTGAATCAACAATTCAAATCACCGTCCCTGATTCGGGCCGAATCCGAATCAAATAGGGCCCCCTTCGCACACCCCTATGAACTAGCACATCATCAGAACCTCAGAAGGTGATCTAGTCCAGTCTCCTAGCCAGTGTTTGTGCAATGTGATTTCTGTCTCAAGTGCACTCATCCTCACTGCATCTGGACAAGTGCCAAGTCCTGTACTTGGGCTGGAGCACACCGTCAGGATAATACTGATGATACTATTAGGATCGCATTGGCCTTGAGTCAATGCTCATCTCTGTCTCCTCTCATTATGTGCAGCGTTAGTCAGCCAGCCAATTTCCCTTTCTGGCCACCAACTCCTGCTTCACATCTGGTGGTTTACTGGGCACTGAGGTCATAGCCCAGCCCCCTCTTTTCTTGGGGCAGTGCCCACACATTCTTCTAAGTACCAGGCAGGGACCCTGTATGAAGCAGCTGAGACTAGTTTTCCTTTGCTTGTTAATGCTTCATACCACACCTTTCATAGATTTCATAGACATTAGGGCTGGAAGGGACCTCGGAAGATCATCGAGTCCAGCCCCCTGCCCAAAGGGCAGGAAGTCAGCTGGGGTCATAGGATCCCAGCAAGATGAGCATCCAGTTTCATCTTGAAGGTGTTCAATGAAGGCGCTTGAACAACCTCCGGTGGCAGGCTGTTCCAGACCTTGGGGGCTCGGACAGTAAAGAAGTTCTTCCTTATGTCCAGCCTGAAACGATCTTGTCGTAGTTTGTGACCATTCGACCTCGTCATCCCTTGGGGCGCTCTGGTGAACAAACGTTCCCCCAGATGCTGGTGGTCACCCCTGATAAACTTGTAGGTGGCCATCAGATCACCCCTGAGCCTGCGCTTTTCCAGGCTAAAGAGCCCCAGGGCTCTCAGCCTGTCATCGTAGGGTCTGCTTCCCTGACCTTTGATCATGCGCGTGGCTCTTCTCTGGACTCTCTCAAGCTTCTCCACATCCTTTTTGAATTGTGGAGCCCAAAACTGGATGCAGTACTCCAGCTGCGGCCTCACTAAGGCCGAGTACAGGGGGAGAATGACGTCCCGGGATTTGCTTGAAAAGCATCTATGGATGCAAGCCAGCGTTTTGGTCGCTTTACTAGCCGCAGCATCGCATTGCAGGCTCATGTTCATCTTGTGGTCAATGATGACCCCCAAGTCTCTTTCTTCCATAGTGCTAGCCAACGTAGCACTGCCGAGCTTATAAGGATGCTGCGGGTTTTTTTTCCCAAGGTGGAGAACCTTGCATTTATCGGCGTTGAACACCATCAGATTCTCGTCCGCCCACTTGCTGAGCCTGTCCAGGTCAGCCTGGATCACCCGCCTGTCTTCTGGTGTGGATGCTTTGCCCCAAAGTTTGGTGTCATCTGCGAACTTGGCCAGTCCGCTTCTGACTCCAGTGTCCACATCATTAATGAAGATGTTGAACAGTATGGGTCCAAGGACAGAGCCCTGGGGGACCCCACTGGTCACAGGACACCACGATGAGTGACTTCCATCAATTACTACCCTCTGGGTCCGACCCCAGAGCCAATTTTCCAGCCAGTGGATCGTGGAGGACCCAAGGCAACAACTGGCCAGTTTCTCCAAGAGACGATCATGGGACACCAGATTGAAGGCTTTTTTGAAGTCAAGATATATGACATCAATCTCTTCTCCCTTGTCCAGGTGATAGGTCACCTGGTCGTAGAAGGAAATGAGATTGGTCAAGCAAGACCTACCCACAACAAACCTGTGCTGGCTATCCCTTAAGATGTTGGCGTCGGCTAGTCCATTAAGGATGCCTTCTTGAAGGCATTCTCTCACTCCTGTACTCCCTTTCCCCCACACAGCTCCCTTAAAGTCTGGTGCTGCAGGAGACTCCTAAGCCCGTCCGAAGGAAATTTATAGGCCTACTTCTCTAAAGATGACCTTCACCGGGAGCAATATCTTCTTCAGCTTTACTGCCCCCCCCTAAGCTCCAATCCATGCAGTCACTCCAACGCCAGGCCTGGGCCACCAGGTCTCCTGCTGTTTTATAGGTAGGGGGTCTACCTACATTGCAGGGGGATGTACTAATTTTCTCAGGTTGACTATGGCATAAAATTCTAATTCTGCAGTCATTTCACAGTGTCTCCACCCCTTCATGCTGATTGGTGTAGAGGCCCCGCCCCTCAGTGCTGATGGCCGGGGGGTGGGGAATGAGGGGGCAGCCACCATCTTGACTGCTGGCTGCCCTTTGCCAAGCCCTGCCCCTTGGTGTTGAGTGGTGGAGAGGCCCCAGAGCGGGGCAGGAGGGACAAGGACATGCCATCTTGTCTGCTGCCCTTTGTGCTGTCCACTGGGGAACTTGCATTTATTTTTATTAAGGTTTTTTTTGTTGTCAATGTCTTGGTTTCCACAAAATCTGGCAAACTGAATTAAAGCAGGCCCCTAATTATAGGAGAAGCGTGTTTGCCAGCCCTCAGATCCTGAGCTTTCTTCGTCTGTAGTGCAACATGTGGGCAGTTTTAAGTGAAAGGGGTTGACCAACTGAGTCACTGGACTGGGCCATAAAGCAAGTACTTAATTAATTGTTCATCTTCCCAACTCTGATTCAATATAAAGCAAGAGAGTTTTAGGAAAATATTTACTCAATTCCTATTCAAGTTCTACTATGAATCAGTGAAACTAAAGATTCACCACTAAACTCTCAAGTTCTTTAGTTTCTTTGTTGCCATACTTTACTATCAGACGCTCCGTATTACAGGAAGGAATTTTGTGTGTATACCTTAAATAAGAGGTGGCAAACCTACAGCTCAGGTGCCACATGCTTGTGGCATGCAGCAGATTGGGGAGGGGATAGGTAGGCAGGGAGCAAAAAAGCAGAGCACCAGATCAGGCAGGGAGCAGAGCTGCAGACTGGGCAGGAGAAAAGAGATTGGAGTGGCACTCAGGGAGGGTGCAGGGCTAATCTGTGGCATTC